CAATTGGTAACAAATGGGTCTTCAAAATCAAGCGAACTGGTGACGATCAAGTTGAGAGGTATCGTGCAAGACTGGTGGTCAAAGGATATGCTAAAAAAGAAGGTATTGATTTCAATGAAATATTTTCTCATGTGGTTCGACTAACAACAGTTCGAGTAGTTTTGGCAATGTGTGCTACATTTGACTTACATCTAGAGCAGCTAGATGTTAAAATAACTTTTCTTCATGGAAATCTTGAAGAAGAAATTTATATGCTCCAGCCTGAAGGTTTTGAAGAAAAAGAAAAGAAGAACTTGGTTTGCAGGTTGAACAAATCTCTGTACGGTCTAAAACAGGCGTCGAGGTGTTGGTATAAGAGATTTGATTCATTTATTATGTGCCTTGGATACAACAGACTTAATGCAGACCCTTGTGCTTATTTCAAGAGGTCTGGTGATAACGATTTTGTTATATTGTTGTTGTATGTGGATGACATGTTGGTTACAGGACCCAACAAAGATCATATTGAATAATTGAAGGCACAACTGGCTAGGGAATTTGAAATGAAGGACTTGGGATCAACAAACAAGATTCTAGGGATGCAAATTCACCGAGACAGAAGTAATAGGAAGATTTGGCTTTCACAAAAGAATTACTTGAAGAAGATCTTGTTACGATTCAGCATGCAAGATTGTAAGCCAATTTCTACCCCTCTTCCTATTAACTTCAAATTATCCTCCAGTATGAGTCCTAGCAGTGAAGAAGAGAGGATGGAGATGTCTCGAGTATCGTATAAATCAGCAGTGGGAAGTTTAATGTTCGTTATGATATGCACAAGACCAGACATTGCACAAGCAGTGAGATGGTTAGTCGTTACATGGCGAATCCAGGCAAAGAGCATTGGAATACAGTAAAGAGGATCATGAGATACATCAAAGGGACCTCAAATATTGCATTATGTTACGGAGGATCAAATTTACTAATCAATAGGTATGTAGATTCTGACTATACAGGGGATTTGGATAAAAGCAAATCTACTACAGGATATGTGTTCAAAATTGCTGGTGGAGCTGTAAGCTGAGTTTAAAATTGCAGTCAATTATGGCTACGTCCACAACAGAAGCAGAATATGTAGCAGCTACACAAGCCAGTAAAGAAGCAATTTGGTTGAAGATGCTATTGGAGGAGTTTGGGCACAATCAAGAGTATGTCTCTCTGTTTTGTGATAGTTAAAGCGCCTTGCATCTAGCAAGGAATCCACATTTCATTCAAGAACAAAACACATACGAGTACATACTATTTCATTCGTGAAAAGGTAGAAGAAGGGACGGTAGATATGCAGAAAATCCATACCAAAGAGAACATAGCAGATTTCTTGACAAATGTGATAAATGCTTATAAGCTTACTTGGTGTCGATCCTCTTGTGGCTTGTCAGAAACGTAAGCAACATGAAGGTACAAGGTAGAAAGAATGGTGTGAAGATATGATTGTTCCAATCAAATCTTCAAGTGGGAGATTGTTGAAAGTCAAGCCATTTCGGTGCAATTAATGCATCGAATGGAAAATGTCAAAAATGGTGGCTTTGTGTTGAAAATTAGCAATGGTAGAAATGCACATTTAGTCATTGTAATTTAGGGTATTTACAAATTAGTCCTTAAGCTTCAACTATAAATACCTAGCTCATTTAGCTTCAAAACCATCCCAAAACATTCTAGCTTTCTTCCAATACTAGAGAGAATTTAGAGAGTTTCTTGAGAGTTATTTTCTCTTTTTTATTAAGAGAGAATTATCATTGTTTTCTCCTTGGTAGATCGAGAGAGGTTGTAATTCCTATTTTCTCATAGTAAAATTATTCTACCGTTACCGTGGTTTTTACCCTATATTATTTAGGGGTTTTTCACGTAAATTTTGTGTCTTCTTTATCTTTATTTTTATTTTCTTAAATTATCAATTGCGATTTTGCTCTATCCGATATCGTCTTCCGCAACAAGAAAAGGACCTACAATCTCACATATCCTTTTCGCAGATGATATGATGCTCTTTGCGGAAGCAACGATGGACCAAATTAAAAACATGGAAGAAATACTTAAGGAATTTTGTCGTGCGTCTGGACAGAAGGTAAGCCTCGCAAAAACAAACATCATGTTTTCAAAAAACGTGGACAGCCAATGCCGAGCAGAAATCAGCACTTCACGCGGCTTCGCAGAGGTCGGTAATTTAGGGAAGTACCGCAGAGTACCCCTGCTCCATGGGAGAGTCACTAAGGCAACTTATCAATACATTACTCAAAGAGTAAGGGATAAACTTAATGGATGGGGGGCGAAGAGTCTGTCGTTGACGGGCCGATTAACACTCTCAAAATGCGTACTTTCAGCCACCCCCTACTATTTAATGCAAACAAGTGCAACTTCCAAAAGGAACGTGTTCAGAAATTAAAAAAATAATCAGGAATTTTATATGGGGAAATCGGAGACAAAGCTTGGAGTGAATTTAGCCAACTGGAACGAAGTATGTACCCCGATCTCGAACGGTGGCTTAGGCTTCAAGCACTTGGAAAAACAAAATGACGCATTCCTCATGAAAATTGCATTCAATCTAGTTCTACACCCGAATCAACTGTGGCGCGAGTATTGCATACCAAATCTTGAACTCCATGGTTGAGTGACATCGGGCCATTAAGGAACCATATCTTGAACTCCAACATAGCATCAAACCTCCCCCAAGTAACGGTAGCAGAAATGACAGACGAGCTAGGTAAATGGAGATGGCTATTGATATCTCATCTAGTACCCCAAGAGGTGGTTTATCGTTTAACGGCCACAATGACACCAACTTAGGTGAACACAGCAGATGGCCCCGGCTGGAAATGGAACCTGAATAGAGAGTTTAGCGTTCTCTCAGCATATGAAACTCGGATAGGATATGAACCAGGATCGACAAACAAAGATATGAACCAGAATCGACAAACAAACTTTGGCAGACCATAGCTAAGTATCGAGGATTGCAAAGAGTCAAAAATTTTCTGTGGCTTGTTGCAGGTGAAAAATTACTCGCAAATAAAGAGGAGTAAGGAGACATATGAGTTCAAGCTCGGCTTGTGGAGTCTGCAGCTCACAAGAAGAAACACTTACACACCTACTCCGACCATGCACACCAGCTTTGGCAATCTGGAAACAACTCATACGCCATGAGAAGCTTAATGAATTCCTTTCAAAAACAACAAAGATTGGCTGTTGGTTAATTTCGAGAAACCACAATACTTCTTGACAGATCCTAATGATTGGGATTTGCTTTTCGGATCAATCATATGGTCTATCTGGAATCATCGGAACCTGAGTATTTTCAATCCGGATGAGCTGGGAAAAGAAACCATTCTTGAGCAGGGTAAAAGAATGCAGATGGAAGGCATTAGAGCAATAGAGTCAAAGGTCAAAACGAGTAACATTGAACCATTGAAGCAATCCGGAGAAAATAAATGGAAACCACCACCGAATGGATGGATGAAATTTAACTCGGACGGTGCAAGAAACCCAAGAGATGGATATGCAACATGTGGAGGAATAATCAGGAACAATATTGGAGAATGGATACTTGGATATGCTAGAGCAGTGGGCATCTGTTCAGTGGTCGAAGCCGAGATTTGGGGAGTATTCGAAGGATTAACACATGCATGGAACATAGGAGAAAGACAAGTAATATTGGAGACAGATAGTGCAGAAGCTCTTCGACTTTTAGCAAAAAGAGGAGAAGGGGCAGAATCACCGATCATTCCCCAACGCATACGTGAACTGGTAGGAAGAAACTGGACTGTTTCTTTCACACAAATCCGACGAGAAGCAAATGGAATAGCTGACATAATGTCCAAGAAATCTGGAAGGGATGATTTCGCAGGGAAAGTCTGCCGAGAACCTCCAGGGGATACTATTTCGAGATTACAGGAAGATGGCCCAGGCCTTAGAAGTTGAGTTGATTAGTTAGGAATAACTCTTAATTTACCAAAAAAAATTACCCAAATAACGTAAGAACTAGGAAAAGAATTTGACCAAATATTATCTATGAGGTTTGTTCCTCTGAAAACACGTTGGTTGTGCTCGGCCTGCAACAAAGCACAAGGGAAACCTATTCTCATAAAACTATTCCGTGATCTTGAAGGTTAAGTATGGCTTCCAAATAGGGATGTAAATTTATTCGAATTTGATTTAGTAAAATTATTTTTTATTTTAAAAATTTGAATTTGGATCAAATTAGATTGAATTTTTTTAGTATATAGTTGGATAAGATCGAATTTGAATTTAAGGTGAACAAATCAGACTTGATCTTATATAATATTATAATTATTCATTATATATTTAAGATGATTGTAATAATATATTTTTATATTTTTAATTAAATTTTTATTTTATTTAATAAAAATAAATTATGTATATTTAGATCGAATATATCAAATCGAATCACCTAATAAGAGTTTTAATTTAAAATATCAAATTAATTTTAATTTGATCAAATTCGAATAAATTTACATCCCTATATTAAAATCCGCATCGAGTTTGTGCGGGAGAAGAACATATAATTATTTTACTTAAATAAATAATATTTTGAAATACAAAATATTAAAATTATATAATTATAAAAAAATATTCTTCAAGGGAATAGTATCTTTATTTCTTTACCGATATTTCTTTGCTTCATTTGTTTACGAGGGTACTCGATAGAATCTCGCCACGTCAATAATGGTATAGAAATTCTTGACATGGCAATTGCGGAACTGACAGTTGGATCAACTATATAGAAAACAAGCAGATTTACGATAGCGACTGGAGACTAAGAGATCAAGCGACAGCGTTTGATTCTAGTCGTCTTTCCCGATGAGATCCATGATCAGTCAATCACGTGAACTCTGACTTTGATTATTACCCCCACCGGTCAGCTCTCATCTCATCATAGTATTAACGGTAAAGTACACGATCACTAACTGATCATTTTAACTACTGATCCTTTTAAAAATTCAACTACGAAAAAGTAACAAATTGTAACAATTTCATATGATAAAAGCTTGAACATCGAAGAGTTTATGGTTTTATTATCTTTATTACATCACTAACACGGACGAAAGAGAATAAATAGCAAGCAAAAACCGTTCACATCACGCATTATAGTGGCATTTTCGAAACACAAAATAAACCAAAATCATTTCACCACCCATGACTTCCAATAGACAACCTCCAATCTTCTCCAGCGCCGCCGCCTCCACCAGCATCCGGGCTACAGCCACTGATACGTCGAGAGGGTACACGAGCACCGTTACTCTTTTGACCAGGACTCCTTGGGGGCTGGTAGACTGTTGTCCCTCCACCTGAACTTGATGAATCACAACCTGGGGATTTCTTTGTTGATGGGTTCCATTGGGGTACATATGGTCCACGTTGCTGCTTCACTGGCCCTTGACTTCGTACCTTGGCTTTGGCAGATTGGGTTGGGGCCATATAGCTTGGTACATTACTGGACCCTGATTGCACCTGCTGCTGAGTTGAGTACGAGCCTGAATCCATTGCCGTCACCACGTCCATTTCAACGGTTTTCTCAGACATGTCATCGGTAACGGTTGTGGTCGCAGTGTTGGTTGGTAGTGTCGTGTAAGAACCCTCTTGAAGACCAAATTGACGTTCGTGATACGGTTGCGATGACATCCAATGCTCGAGCCAATTCCAACCCCATTGTGCCTTCTCACGATCATTGAGATAGTGACCAACATCCTTGCCATTGGGGACCGGTTGCAAGGGAAGTTGTTGCTGCTGCTGCTGCAAGAAGTGAATTATATGACCATTTAATCAATAAACAATGTGTTTTTCAAGTGCTTATGATTAACCATTAACCTGATAGTTATAAGCATAAGCAAGGGCCCTTTCTCGTCTCATTACAGCATCATGTTTCTTTGAAGCACTTTCGATGATTTTCTCCGAGCTTTGCTGTCCACCGTCCCAATGGTCATATTTCTTCGATGGGGTCTTCGGCTTTCTTTCTACATCTTCCATTCGTATTTTTTCTTCATCGTCTTCATCCAATCTCTTTTGCATCTGTTCAACATCAGTTAGCCGCAGCCTACGAGCTCGAACTCTTGCCTGCACCCGTACTAATGCTTGCATGCACTTCATTGTCATTTGTGCTTGCTTGCGCACGTTATAGCCTCTAACTAGTGCCTGCAGCCTGACTAGTCCCTTCAAAGCACGCAATGCTCTCCGAGCCTACAAATCATCATCGGCAACATTTAGACAACCTAAGACTACAATGTTCCCTTTCCTCCCTCAAGGAACTTATAAGCATGATCACCTATATTGCTCAATAATCCTTTTTAAGGTTTTTATCCTAGGAGAAAAGCTTGTGCATTCAAGTGCCGTAAGTGATCCTCAAGAACCCTTATCTACGGTTTCTAAAATGTGAGTGATAAATATGCATAGAGATGGTTTTGTTTTACCAGGTAGCCTCTGTAATACGACTGTATGAGTGTTGCAGCTCTTTCTTCCTTAGACTGGCGTCCATAGCCCGCCAACCGGACAACTTTAGCAGCAGCTTGAGCTGCTGCAACAGCAGCTTCTGCAGCAGCAGCGGTTGCCATGGCGACGGCAATGGCATTGTTCCTATCATCGTTCAGAGGAGTCGGTGTTGCAGTCTCATCATTAGTGATGTCCGGTGAACTCTCCGACGGAAAATGTTCAAACGACACTACTTCCGGGGCCTCCTTTGGCCACTTCTCTACATTATTATCTCTCTGAAAAATCAAATCAGATTGCTCAGAGGAAACATTTCATTGACATTTGCTTGAAAAATGTTAACCGATGAACAAAGAAAATTTTACAGAGCAGATTATCATTGATATGGTGTGATGGAGATCTAACATTGTCAAGCACATGAGGAACAAGTCGAATGATGTGACAACTTAGGTGGCATGATAATTATGGGTCAAGGTAGCCATGTTGACAGGGGACCAGTGCCCCTTGCTTGGGTTCATGGTCCTTCAGAACAGTGAAAAGGAAGGTCATCAATTACCATTTAACGCCATCTGAAAGAAAAAGCAACCCTCCCAGGCCATTTTCTTTTTTGATAAGTTCTTTTCACCATATTAATATATATAGTTAAATTGAAAAATTAAATACTGACAGCAGCAGAAATGATGATATGTAGACATATCGATTCAAAGATAAAGAGGGAATTATTTGTTACTTTTAATGTGTATTTTTGTTTCATAAGTATCAAAATTAAAATATATTTTCTTCTGATATACTTTGCAAATAGGTTATTAATTAAAGATTGCTAGACTCAATAAACTTACGAAGTTACATCATTGGTTGACTATTGGATAGGTTCACCTTCTTTGCAAATAGGTTAATAATTAAAGATTACTGGACTCAATAAACTTACAAAGTGACTCACATGTGGTTGACTATTGATATATTCAGTTTTTTGGTTTTTATTTTAGTTATTTGAGAATCATACTTTATGTTCGAATATGTACATGATTCATATGTCAACACAAATATTTTGTTACGAAATTAAATAAGATAATAACAAAATTTTTAAGTGTAAAATCTTAAATAAAAAAACACATAAAAAATATTCACCATATCAAAAACTATATAAAAAGTTACAACGACAAGATTCTAAATTGCATCACAGTATCCCTCGATCCATCATTTTAGATATATATTTCAAAAATAAAAGAATAGTATTTTTTTAAATGAAGGGTGAGAGTAACTGCTTCCCAGTAGTATGGCCACAAATGAGTAAGATCAAAGAGAATATGTCCTTGCAATCGTGGGCAATAACTAAAGCTAACCAAGTTCTAACAAGAAAAGGATAAGAACCCAAATAAATACAAGCAAAATCTATATGTTTTTGATGTTGATGTTTGGCCTCTTTTCTTTTATTTTCTCTTTCCCTTGTTAAGGACTTAAATGCTCAAGTAAACTAAAATGTTAAGTAGAAAAATGAAAAATGAAAGGTGCAGACATGAATGGCATTGATTAATTGCTTGCAAATATGGCAATCTAAAATCAATCCTCAAAACAAACCTAAAAACACTCTTTAAAAAATTATTAAAAAAAAACGTTACCTTCTTGTCATGCAAATCCTTTGAAGATGATTTGAACACTTTCTTCACCGTCGAGAACCATCCGCTCCCTTTTTTTCCCATCGCCGGTCAAAACAGGAGCTTCTAAACACAGAAAAAAACAAACAAAGCTTTTTAACTAACGAACATTACACATTCCTGTTATAGTTAGAGCGTCATAAGAATGAGAAACAAATCGACAAATAATATAATGTCATTCGCAAATCCATGAAATGAAACCAGAGAAATGCATAACAGAGGATCATCATCAATTCATCAAGGGTTTTCGAAATTTAAAAAAAGAAAACAGCAAAAACACCGAGAAATTTTGATTTATAATTTCGTTAAAGAAGAAGAAGAAGAAGAAGATCAAACCTGAAAGAAGAAGAGGTAACTGATGATATGCTATGAGTTTTGAATTCCTGTCATGTTTCCTCTTTATCATTTCCCATGTATTCTCCGAAGGTGAATTACTTAGAATTCTTTTCCTGTTTGGGGCTGTCGAAGCTGAGTAAAATGAAGCGAGAAATATGTGATATTATGGAAAATGAAAGTGACTGCGGAGTTTTTTGAGAGAGAAAAATCAGCAACTGAAGATACCCGCGCGAAGCAATCGGCCGATTGCTTTTTATCAAGTTCACGGAGAACATATATTTACAGTTGGGGTGACCCTCCAATGAGATTTGGCCACGTCATCTACACTCTGTTTCTCGTAATTACACGCCTACCCCAACCATAATTTCCATTTCTGCCCCCCCTTTTATTATGATTTTGCTATTTGTGAGATATTAAGCAAAGTAGGTTGGTCATTCTTATCTTTATAATATTCGATTTGAATTATTTGATTAATATATCGAATATCGGTGATTAATTTAAAAAAATAAAGATAAATAATATTTAACTGAAATAAAATATTTGAATTGCTATTGCATTAATTAATAGATTAATAGCTATAACCTTTTGATTTAATTTTTTAATTATGTTTCTATCATTTTAAGTTATTTAAAGTTGATGAATTAATCGTAAATAATTTATTCTCTTTTTTTTATGTGTTTTCTAAAGATATAAACAATTGGTCACGAAATATATTATATTTCTATGGATTAGGATCGTATCCTTCAGATCTTCACCATACGATTAAAAGATAAATAATCACAGTCAGAAAGGAAATAGCGTAGAGTATGAGGAACTTTGGCCTTTTTTCAAGAAAAAACTATTTGATGTCATTTTATGTTTATGTCGGTTTAAAGTTGAGTCAAATTAAACTTTGATTCCTCCAATTTTTAAGATTAAATATTTAAAGTATCGTTATTATTTTAAACTTAAACAATTAATTTATCTCAATATTTGGTTCTAATTTTATCTCGGATTACATAGCACGCCTTTTAATTACTATTATTTTCAATTTATTATTACTTGCTAAAAATGACGTGCGGTTCATGTGCTACACAAAATTGTATGATTTGATCCAACGTTTTGGTTTCAATGTTTTTCTGTTTGAAGGGTGTGAGTGAATGCTAAATTAAAAGTACAGATAAATGTGTAGATCAAATATCAATGAATTCAAACACAAAGGGATACGTCGATCCATCCACTGCACAAATAAATAATCTTTATTGCTAGCTTAGCTGTGAATTGTTTCCAAAATAAACTTCATACGAAATAGAATCAATTGAATAAACATATATTTTTTAAAATTATTAATGTTTAATTTATTGATTATTAATTCATATTAAATATTATTAAAAAATTATAAAAACGATATTTTGAATTTAATATCATTGTCTGAATTGTAAAATAGTGCAGTATGGTTGAATTAGGGGATTGAAGTGGAACTAAGTTAGATGACGCCCATTCGCTTGCATTAAAAGAAAAAATAATGAGCATCGAAGCCAAAAAGGAGTAGTTTTGCACTTTTGCAGTTGGGAAGGAAGGAATCCAGACATCGTTGTGTTCTACCCTCCCCATTAAGGAAATTTGAAGTTAGCTGACAGGTCACACGTTCCTTTCTATTTTTATTTATTTTTGGTTGGGAGACAACTTTAGATACCATTAGGAAGCGTTTGGTTAAGGGTATATGTGATTAACAAGAGAATGAAATGTTATTCCCACGTTTGGTTCACAAACATTCCCAACCCCCTGTAATCCTTTATTCCCAACAATGATATTTTGGGGGTATATTATCGGGAATGTGATTCCCACATTCCCTTAGGTATTGTTACATTCCCGGTGTTTCGGACTAAAATGTCCTTAAATTTTTTTTCTTCAAAATTATTCTTCTCTCGTTGAATAAAAAAAATTATATGAAGGTTAAATTATAAATTTATCCTTAAACTATTTTGGATTTACAAAAAAGTTCATAATTAGAATTTTATATGAAATTTAGGGGTTAAAATAAAATTTTATCCTTTCATTAAACCTATTTATCTTTTTAATTTTGTAAAAAAAAATTATATAAATTTTATGAATTTAAATTTTTTAAAGAAAATATATAAATTAATTATAGTAAAATTATAGTAGAATTCAACTTGTTAAAAAAACAAATATATAATAAGGATAATTTGGTAAAATATACATTCCAATAATCTTTTATTTCTTTAACCAAACATTGTAATCTTACATTTCTGTTAAACGAACCAAACACAAAAATGCAACATTCCCAGTAATCTTATTCCCGCCGATAATCTTACATTCTGTGAACCAAATGCACCCTTAAGGTTTATTCATTGAATCATTTGTATCATTGAACTTTTAATTTTGTCAATTATAGCATTAAACTTTAGTTTTACATTCAATTATGTCATTATGTTGTTAAGTCACTAACGGGACGATGTCATGACTAACAATTGCTAATGTGATATGCCACACCAAAACGACGTCATTTTGGTTCGATGGTTCTGATGTCTAAAACGACAACGTTTTAGACACTGAACTTTAGATTATTTTTTTCACTGAACTTTTAAACAAAATACTTTTTGACACTGCACTTTTTCCCGTCGTCGGCAACCAATCGTCATCCATCACTGATTGTCTTTCGCGATAAAAGTAGTATTAAAATGTTTCCATTTCAATCTTTATTCTTCTCACATAATTAGTTTTTCACAAAACCCCATCGAAATCAAAGAAATTAAATATAAAAATATCTATCAATTTTAGATATTTGAAGATTTTTTTAGATATATAGGATTTGAGGTGTTTGTTCGAAAATCTAAAGGGTGAAAAATATTATTTCGAGAATACGTACAACATATTTCAAAACTAGCCTCATTGACAGTCACTGAAAGAGATTAGAGTATTAATATATTGAACTTTTAAATAGATTTTTGTCGATTTTAAGTGAATTTCGTGCAAAACCAATCCCGAGAGAAGAAAAAAAATGAAATACGAATATTTTGATATCTATTTTGCTGCGAAAGACGGTCATGACTAAAAGAGATTGATTGTTGATGGCGATCGGAAAGTGCAATGCTAAAAAAAACAATTTAAAAGTTCGATGACAAAATCGATAAACCTCTAAAGTTTAGTGTCTAAAACGATGTTGTTTTAGGCATCATAACAACTGTACCAAAATGGTGTCATTTTGGTTTGACTAGCCATTCCAGTAATCGTTAGTCATGTCATTGTCTTATTACTAATTTAACGACGAAGTGGTACAATTGAATGTATAATTAAAGTTCGGTGTTATAATTAACAAAATTCAAAGTTTAGTAGTATCTGAAATAAATACTTATCGAAATTAAAGTTTTTCCCCCTCAAAATTTAGTAATGTTTTGAAAAAAAATCGTTGAAATATGATTTGAATTTGAAATCCAGCATTAAGAAATTTAAGTTCGATCTTCATCTAACCCAAATTCGGATTATGAATGCATTTAGGGTGTGTTTGGTTCACGGAATGTAAGATTACCAGTGAGAATAAAAGATTACCAATGAATAGGATTACTGGGAATGTTGTATTTTATGTTTGGTTGGTTTAGCAGGAATGTAAGATTACAGTGTTTGGTTAAAGAAATAAAAGATTATTAGAATGTATATTTGACTAAATTGTCCTTATTATATATTTGTTTTTTTAACAAGTTGGAAAATATTTATATATTTTCTTTAAAAAATTTAAATTCATAAAATTTATATATATTTTTTTTACAAAATTAAAAATATAAAAAGGTTTAATGAAAGGGTAAAATTTTATTTTAACCCCTGAACTTCATATAAAATTTTAATTATACTTTTTTTTTTGTAAATCTAAAATAGTTTAAGGATAAATTTGTAATTTAACCTTCGTAGAATTTTTATTATTCAATGACAGAATAAGGATATTTTTAAAGAAAAAAATTAAGGGCATTTTAGTCCAAAATACCGGTAATCCAACAATACCTAAGGAAATGGAGGTAATGACATTCCCGGTAATATACCCCAAAAAATCCACTATTGGTAATGTAAGATTACTGTGAATGACATTCCCGGCCAACCAAACGGAAAAATGTGGATTTCATTCTAATGAGAATCTTACATTCCCCCAACCAAACACACCTTTAGGGGCAAAGCTGCGAGGTGCTTGGTCCACCTCCATGGCTCATATCATTTTTCACATAAACGTATAAACTAGTCTTGAACAAGCATATTGTAAAACATTACTCATCACAACAGTGAACCCAACATATTTAAGATAATAATATTAGTAAGAGCGATTAGATATTCAAATGTCTATACATGCATTTTCTCTTATATTTCTTGTTATTTATAAATAACACTCACACGCAGTTTATAACTCTAGATTATTCTATTATATTTTTCAATTCTAAATCCCCGATTTCACTTTTGGATGTATTAGATCTATATCATAATCAGTCCGGTTCATGTCGGAAATGTAGGGTGAACCGAAAAATTCATGGCACCTATTTGAGATGGAGTGAAGACATGGGGTTGATATGGTTGAAAGCAACGTGTGTGTATTGTTAATCTTAACCTATGAGAGATTGAGTTTTGTAGTAGAAGAGACTAAGGACGAATTAAAACCTTTAAACGTGGCCGACCTAACATCAATCATTAGACCATTACATTTCTTCATACCCCATTAACGTTTGGTGCAACATTTCCATTTTACTCTTCCATATTTCTTTTGTTTTTTTTTAACTTTTAAAATGACACCCTAATAAAAATTAATGTCTAAAGTATCTTTCGTTTCATGTTATTTCTTAAATTAGCAATCGTATTAATATAAATATGTATCTTCAACATGTATCATGCACATTTATTTTTTTATGAAATTCATATGTTTTTTTATATTTTTAATTTTTTTTCATTTTGATTCTATCTTTGAAACTTTTGACAGGCTTTTGTCAGTATTTTGATATGACACGTATTTACTAAAAACGTGTCAATTGAAGAATTAAGTTGTAACAAGTGTTAATTCAGAAATTATATTTTAGTTTATATTTGGATAATAAAACATTTTCGAATTTTGTTTTTTTCTTAGATCATTATTCTTACATATTTAACATTTAAAATATACAAAATATATTTTGTTTTCTTTATTTTATTTTTACAAGGTTTTGTTGGAAAAAATTAATAAAATAAAATATAAAATTTTGTTCAGGCTAAACCAAATAAAGAATTATAA